CGTGCAGCTATCTACAAATGCACAGGGCGCTATTCACAAATGCGTGCCGCTATCTACAAATGCACAGGACGCGATTTACAAATAAATGCCAGGCAAAGTTGTGGTTGTGACATAAATATATATTGCCAGTCAAGACTAACCGATTTATGATTTATTATAGATTTATTATAGCATGACCAAATCGGAAACGATCACTTTGGTACATTGACAAAGCAAAAATATTAAATATTAATAATAATAATAATAATAACAAAAAAAAAAAAAAAAAAAAAAAAAAAAAAAAAAAAAAAAAAAAAAAAAAAAGGGCAGCAGGCCAAATCAGCCGCCAGGCCACCGGGAATTCGCCCAGTACCTGATGGCAAGTCCGGGCCTGAAGCCTTTTGACGGTTTGTGTCACAAAGCTGTAAAAACGTTTATTCTCACCAAGTGAATGAATCGCGTTTGTGCCAAACTCTTATTACACAGCAAAAACAAACACTCTTCTTCGATCCATGACCGTTTCTCTGTTAATGTGCGCGATGTCATGCTACAGACTCTGAAACATCTGTCATAGCAAATCAACACATGCTGCTGTGAATAATTAAGCAAATTGTTATTATTAAGTAAATTAGTCTCATGAATAATTTAATAGACACTGAGGCATCATCAATGTACTATAGTCCATTGCCACGTCACAAATTGTGACGTCAATACGATGTAGATTTTAAACCCGGAAGATGAAAATAGTGCAAAAAATCTTAAAATTAACCAGTTTTCTCCAACAGTTAAAATGATCAGATGCTAACATTGTCTTCTATGATGTGCAACACAAACACCTCTGCTAAAATCTCAGAAAAAGCAGTCTGGGGTTTCATGACCCTTTAATGCTCATTCACTGTAAAAAAAATAAAAACCTCTCCAACTATGTGATCAGATGTGACATAAAAAATAAAAATAAAATCATTAAAACAAATTTCTTCAAGGCTGAGGCTAGAACCCCTTTCTTTCATTCAAATCCAGAGACATCACTACAGAATTTTTTTTTAACAAGATGGCAGTTCCAGAATAGATAGGATAATGTTTTGATTCATTTTTACAAAAGATACATTGATTTTTTTTTTGATAACTTAATCTTTAACAGAGTATATTCTTTGAATAATTTTTGAAAGTAACCTCCATTTAGTTTTCATTTGAATACTTATAAAGTATTTGTTACATCGATTCCACACACGTTTTCAATATTTCTTATTATTTTTTTCCAATATATGACACAAGGGGGAGTAGTATTGCCTCTACAATATCGAATAGGTTTATTGTTACTTTCTAATACACCTTCTGAATGGATATAAACTATACAATCTTATTTTTATGTGTATTAGGCTATCAGTTCCTAAAATGTGACCTTAAAAGTTAAGTGTACTCTGAGTGGATTTCATAACTTTGTCAAATTAATGTAATTACCAAAACGGTTCCAAATGTCTGTATATGTTAAAATGAACGAACCTCTTTATAATTAGTATGTCCTTTTTAAACCAATCTTTGGAAAATTATTTTTCTATTATGTTTAATATCTCTATTATTTCAACACTTGCTATTAAAGTTTCATTGGTCGTTTCCCCATATCAAAGTTGCATTTCAGTAAAAAAAAAAAAAAAGTCTAGTGCACCATTGTGGTTTCATATTCTAGTCTTCTTACCAGTGCCAGCTGCCAGTCTGTGTGTCTTCAGTAATACATAATGAATAATAATCTTGTTTAACCTCTGACCTGTAGGTCTCATTTGACTGGTTTTCAAACATCAGTTTTGATGGACTGATTCAGTAGGCTATACGTCGTTCTTTCAGATTGTGAGATTCATAACAGCAGAACAGGAAGCTTCTTCACCTGTGCAAACTAAACACACATACTCTAAACGGCCACTCACACTTACAAGTTTAAACATCCACCGGTCAAACCACGTGGATGAAAAACAGAGAAAACAGACCACAGCAGGTTTCAGTTTGAGCTGCTAGTGCCAGTTACTTCACTAAAACTGGTGATGTGAGATGGGAGACTGTTTTAACTGTTTTTTTGTGCTTGTTTCTTTTTCCATTCTCAACATTTTAGAGAATTTAATTATTTCAGCCACTTCAAACCATTAAGCTTTATTTTACCATGAAATCTAGGAAGATTTACACAATATTCCACATATTTAACATATGGAGTAATTCCTTTCAAACATTATTAATGTTAAATGATGAAAACAAAGAATGTTTTCCACCATTAAGAACAGTTGAAGATACAATAAGAGCCAGATGAGCAATTATATATAACTATAATGCATTCAAAGAGCACTGTGTGTTTGTGTGAAGTAGGAGGGTCAAACTCCGTTGGGGGGAGGATTCACACAGGCTGAGTGTTTTTGGCGGATTAAATTAGACTTTTCACTGAACAACATGTTTCACACGCTTGTTTTGTTCTCTGTGTGGCATCTGATTGGTAAGTTACAAATATATTTTTATGGCATATTGCATATGGTCATAAAGTTGGCATGATTTTCATTTACAGTTCTTCACAGAAAAATTTAAATCAAATATATTATTGTAAAATCTGCAAGGTTTCAGGTTTGTGCTTGTTTCTCTATTTAAGTGTTCTGGGTCCCATAGTTATAATGAAAATTACTGAATTAGTGAATTTCAATTTCTCTGAATATATTTCTTACATTGCAGATAAACTGATTAACTGATAAACAGACGTTACATGACATGCACATAAAAATCCTCTCCAGCAGTTTTTTTTAAAAAACATGAACAGTCATGGAAATGATCTAGGCTTTGTAAACCAACAAGAGCTTTAATCTGTGTAAAACCTGGCCCTGTTCTTGTTGTTCAGGTGTGTTTGGGGCTGGAACAAATGAAATGCAATCAGTGTCAGTGATTGTGGGAAATTCTTTCACTCTACACACTGATGTTACTGAAATACATGAAAACGACGACATACTGTGGAATTTTGGAGTTGAAAAATCTCTCATAGCTCATAAGGTTGGAATCTTAAACACATTTAATGGTCCTGATGGGAGATTCAGAGACAGACTGCAGCTGAATGATAAAACTGGATCTCTGACCATCACAAACATAACAACTGAACATGCTGGAGTCTATGAAGTAGAGATTAGTGGACTGAAACTGACATCAAAAACATTCAATGTTTCTGTCTGTGGTGAGTAGAGCTCATAATTGAATTACATTACAAAAATGATTGATCAAATGGCATTGTTTTTATCCACATTCTCTCATGTTTTCAGCTCGTCTGCCTGTTCCTGTCATCAGCAGTAACTCTACACACTGTTCTTCATCATCATCAGCATCATCATCACAGCAGAATTGTTCATTGGTGTGTTCAGTGGTGAATGTGGGTCATGTGACTCTCTCCTGGTACAAAGGAAACAGTTTATTGTCCAGCATCAGTGTGTCTGATCTCAGCATCAGTCTCTCTCTACCTCTGGAGGTGGAATATCAGGAGAAAAACAGCTACAGCTGTGTGCTCAACAATCCTATCAGCAACCAGACTCAACATCTGGACATAACTCAACTCTGTCACACATGTTCAGGTACCTCAGCGCTGATACGGTTATTTTTTCACACAAACACAATTAAGTCAGCATATTTTTTTGTTTCGCAAAATAGGGATCATTTTTATACATAACATTATGTATTAAAGGGATACTCCACCCCAAAATGAAAACTTTGTCAGTAATCACTTAGCCCCATTATGTTCCAAACCCGTAAAAGATTTGTTCGTCTTCGGAACACAATTTAAGATATTTTGGATGAAAACCGGGAGGCTTGTGACTGTCCCGTTGACTGCCAAGTAAATTACACTGTCAAGGCCCAGAAAAGTATGAAAGACATCGTCAGAATAGTCCATCTGCCATCAGTGGTTCAACTGTAATGTTATGAAGCGACGAGAATACTTTTTGTACGCGAAGAAAACAAAAATAACAACTTTATTCAACAATACGTCTCCTCTATGTCTGTCCGCGTCACCGTAGCGCCATTTTGGAGAATATGAGCTGAACGCAAGCAGCGTACGCTCTTCTGTGTAAACCGCGCTGCACAGATGGCTGTTTTCGTTCAAATCAAAGCGTAAATACACGTAGAAAACATATCCTTGTGTCCTGCTGACACAGAAGAGCGTACACAGTTTGAGTTCAGCGCATATTCTCCACAATGGCGCTACGGTGATGTGGAGAGACACAGATTAATTGTTGAATAAAGTCGTTATTTTTGTTTTCTCGTCAAAAATAACGTTATAAAAGTAAAAGTGTTCTCGTCGCTTCATAATGTTACGGTTGAACCACTGATGGCAAATGGACTATTCTGACGATGTCTCTCATAATTTTCTGGACCTTGACAGTGTATTTTACTTGGCAGTCAATGTGACAGTCACAAGCCTCCTGGTTTTCATCCAAAATATCTTAAATTGTGTTCAGAAAACAAACAAAGCTTTTACGGGTTTGGAACGACATGGGGGCAAGTGATCAATGACAAAATTCTCATTTCTCATTTTGAGTTCCTCACAGGGACTAACGTCAGCTTATTGGAAACCACAGTTCTGTTTTACCATTGGTTTTTCCCCAGAAGTCCACACCTATTGTTGTGGTTTTACTGAAGCTGTGATTCGATCGGTCGTCTCTGCTCTGGTGGGTGTGGCTGCTGTGGCTGTTCTGGTTTATGACATCAGATCCATAAGAGGAGGAGACAAGAAGCAGATATCATACATATTATGACATATCTTCAAGTTCTGTAAAAATAAAAATATATACAAGGATTTAATTTCAAATACAGTTATCAATAAAATCACCAAGATGATTGGTATCCTTTGTTTTATACTGTACTTTGATTAATCGTATTATTTTCATCATTGAATAGTGTTTATGCTTTGTATAGTTTATAGTTGTATTTAGATCTAAATAGATTAAATAGGTCCTTTCAAGCATGATCAGTGTTCTGTGTTCAAGCATGAGCAGGGCACTTCTCATATTTATTTTAATTTTATTAAGGGTTAGTATAATAAAATACGACAAGAACTCAGAGTTAAACTGTGTCAGAACAAATTCAGTGCTATAATGTCAGATAACTTTGATATAAAGGTATGTAATGGATTACAATAAACCAAAAATTATTCATACAGCTGTCAATATTTACACAACTATCAATACTTTGTCGGGTGACCCTTAGCCTTAATGACAGCCTGTAGTCTCCTAGCCATGCTGTCAACCAGCTTCATGCAAACCTGAACTTCAGTCGGTCTGAATAATTTTTAGTCCAAAATTTGTATAAATTTTACTGGTAGTCCACTGTATGAAGAATTTTTGAGTATAATATATCACAGTTTAGTTTATTTTGCAATCCTCACTTTACATAAATGAACTATAGTGTCCTGCACCCACTAGTAAAAATAATAAAAAAAATTATACCTGGTCTCTGACTATTTTTTGGTTTGACTGTATATACGTCTGTTAATTATGCCCATTAAAATGTATTTTACAAGTTTTTGTTACTTTCACTGTTCATTTTTCTCTCTCTCTATGGTAGCCTACATCATCTTTAATTTAATAGCATTAGAGCTGCTCCATTGCAGCGGCTTAGTACTGTAATCATGGTGCTTTGCTGTAATAATGCAGGGAACCACTCCTTATAAATCTCCTAACTATGATATTTTCATAAATATAAGTCGCGTTTTTTTCATCTGAAATGTGCAGCGATTTATTTTCCAAAGACACTCGTATAATGCAGAAACACTCATGAACCAAGCAAAACACGCAACGCGGGCATGTATTTGCAAGGGCGTGTCTACGTGGTGGCACTGCCCCCCCCCTGAAATTTGGCTGGTCACCCCAGGTGCCCCCCCTACCAGATGTCTTGCGATAGGCTTGTTTTTAGTAAATTTCTAACTGCATCTGGCAGTGGCGGATCCTGGCATGTGTAGGCAGCTGCCTAGGGCCGCTTTCTTCTCTTCTTTATACTTAATTTTAGGCGGTTTCTATAGTGTGATCTTAATGACAAACAATGTCGAGAGCGCATAATGTTATGCGATCCATGTGCGCGAGGACGAATCTCTCCACTCCCAAGCAGATTTCCTTCACTCACACAAAACTGGACGTGTACACGACATTAACTGACAGTCACCACTGATAAGCTACCACTAAATATTGTAGAAACTTAATTTGCTGTAAAGTTGCTTTGCAACGATTTGTATTGTGAAAAGCGCTATACAAATAAACTTGAATTTAATAAACTTGAATTTAATTGAATGGATGTTAGCAAGACAATTAACTATATTTTTTTGTCTTTTGGATAATTAGCTGTAAATTCGAGGCACAGGTAGCTTAGTCTTTTGTTAATCACCACTCACCTCCACACCACAACAAACACAACTGGAAAGGGAGGGTTGCTCTCTGCCTGTCTGTGATGTGATGTGATGTGCAGATCAATGTGTGCTACACTGCTGTGCTGGAGAGACGCGGAGGGGAGAAAGACATCAGAACTCGACAGAGTCTCAACATTCCCGACCTTTTGATTTTTTTTATTTGTTTGACAGGGAAAGCTGTGTGCAAACAGAAACACACACACGCACACAAATATACATATATTCATTTATTAAAGGGTTAGTTCACCCAAAAATGAAAATTAGCCTGTGTTTTACTCACCCTCAAGCCATCCTAGGTGTATATGACTTTCTTCTT